GGGACATCCCTGATACAAAAATAACCTCCCTTCATACTGGATACTTTTTTATCAAATTTGAATGAGTAAAAGAAACAGTCTGTTTCTCAAACTTTCAGTTTCCAAGGATTAACTAAAAGGAAACGTGGACTAACAATTTTAAGGTAATTTTGTTCCAAAGGTTCATCAATGTTTTTCAGCAAAATAAGCTAATAGCAGTAAGTCATAACAATAAAAACACATTTTAATTTTGTGAGCTGTGTGTGAACCAAATTGTTACATCACTTCTTTTCCCCCTTAATGTGGTCCATATAGAGACCAAAAGGAACACCAATATTCTGGGGGTCATATGTTGAAATACACTGACCTAAGTCATCAAAAAATTTTTTTCTATAATTTTCTCTCATCACCCACAATCTGTAGCCATACTTTCCTCTTCTTTAACATTTCCACCCAAGGCTAATCCTTCTACTTGTACAAATACACTGGACCTACATTCATCCACATTAACCTTGGGATCTTGCTCAACTACCCCATCTATCATCTCTCTGCGTGTTTGCCTCTTCTAAAATTGATACTGACTCATTCCCACTAAAATATAAACACAGTCAAGTGTCTCTACCTTAAAAGAAAAGGTAGAGTGAGGAGGCACTTCATTTAACCCATGTCTCCCAAATGTATTCTCTATCTCTACCATCTCACAACCCATAATCATAATTTATTCTATGAAATCTGGCTTATAAATAAATCCTCTTTTAAAATAATATTCTTGATTAAATTGCCAAAGACCTCATTATTGTCTATCCAAAGGCACATCTTTGTCATTTTACTTGACACTCCTCTTTTTTTTGAGAAACTTTACTGTTCCCTTCACTTCTCAATCTGCAAGCTTAAAAATTTAATCAAAAGAGGGAAATGAAGGTACACTGAAGTCCAACCGAAGCTCACAAGTTTCAAGCAGATAACTGGAACTCATAGACCTTTTTTTTTAAGATCTTTTGAGGCAACTTTCACTGTCACAAAACTTGAACTCCATACTTTTATTGGGGTGTGTGTGGGGGGGGTAATTTTCTAACAGGAATTAAAAGTACATGAGGATGAATGAGATGATATACAAGAATTCTGAACATGTCTGATACTAGTATTTTCAATACTGACAGATACTTTAACATACTTAATACAACTGTAATAGGTAACAAATAAATACATTAAATGAGTTTGGGGCAATGAGTGAGGAATACATTATTTCATCTTGTTAAGTATCACAGCAAAGACACTGCTCTGCAGCAAACAGCAAGGAATTGACCTTTACTTTCCCTAAACATCTATAATGATGAGCAGATGCCCTGAAAGAAACATGACCATGACATTTGCAATTATCCTCCAAAAAGAAAAAAGTACAAGCATTTCTCATTTTCCAGGATTACTAGTATAATTTTAGAAGTTGTCTTCATAATTAATTTCTAAAAAGCAAATCCTATTTTCCCATTAAAATGTATTCTTTTTACAACACAGACACCACACACAAACACACACGCACACACACACCCCACCCCCAACCCCCGGCGGAAAACTTTTGATGAAGAAGTAATTGAAAGAGCTCCAGCCCAATAACATCACAGAAACCTTGAAGTATATTATATTGCAACTATTTTTTGCCTGCTGTCAGTGTTCACAGATCTCCTCCCTTTAATTATTCTCTACCACTTGTCCTCAAATTTTCTCTCCTAAAGATCGCAGGACTATACTCAAAGCCTTCAGTGCCTAGCATCCCTCTCTTGACTTTCTGGGCTACCACAGCAAACTGCCAAGAATGACATCCAAAAGTTAAAACATTATATACAGTGAGTTAGTTCCTGATATTAACTTCATAAAATCTAAATGAACAACTTCACATTGGTTTTTGCTTGTGTTACATACTACTCTAGGCTTCAAACTCCTGAAAATACACAGCTAATATATTTTCCAACAAAACTATATACAAACACATTTTATTGCTAAGAATAATAAGCTTAAAGTTCTTAATCACATGAGTCACTACTAGTGGATGTTTTTCAGCTACTTTAGGCACAGCATAAAAAAGACAACGGAAAAGAATGATAAATCTGATGTCATTAAGAATGAATGTAAGAATGTGTGAAGAAAGAAGAGTAAAGAGAAAAAAGGAAACCTACAAATGATGAAAAAACTATATACATTACACACCAACTATAAAGAGCTCTTACAAAAAAAACCTCAGAAAGTAGGCAAAACATGACTAGTCAACAAAAATAAAAACATTTATAAAAAATGCCAAAATTTACCCATATTTAAAGAAATACAAATCAAGAAAAGATTCTGTTTCTCAACTATGTATACAGCAAAGATTAAAACGTTCAGTAATATTATCGGCAAGGAAGGGAAAGGTCATTCTCACATATGACTGCTAAGAGTGTAAACTGGTCAATATAACAAAATATATAAATATAATTCCACTCCTTTGAATTTATTTTACAGCTATATTGAAATAGTGTGCAAAGATACACATACAAATGTACACTTGAAACCTATATAATTTTACTAACCAATGTCACCCCAAAAAATTTAATTTAAAAAAAGATACACATACAAAACTATTCACTGCAGCATTATTTTTAAGAGCAACAAAATAGAAACCTAAAGTCCATCAATTGAAGACTGATGAGAAATACTAGCTTATATTTAAGTTTTACAACACAGTATTAAAGAGCCTTTAAATGGAAAAAGTACATACAAATGGGCTTATGTGAAAAGATCTTTAAGATATATTGATCGGAAAGAAAACAAGGATCTGAATAGTAAAAGTACTGTGAAACTATGTCACTTAAATATATATATTAAGTTTTTATATATAATTGTATATGTTATCTTTTGTAAAAAGGTCACAGACCTGGGAAATGGTTAAGTATTACATATGGTTGCAGATAAAATACATGACACTCAGTTAAATTTGAATTTCAGGCACAAATATTTTTTTTAGTATCAATATGCCCAAATATTGTTAAGAGACTTATTTGCTAAATCGGGCAACCCTAATTACAATTACACTGTGCAAGTCACAATATCAGTTGTTTTAGTTTCCACATCTGAAAAATGCAGGACTTGGACTATGATTTCTTCCAATTCTAAAATCAGTTCTGATTTTTTTTTCCTAGCTCTAAAATTCATTCGTTGTAAAGCTCCCTAGAATTCTGACATTTTATAAAGAATTCAACATATATCCATGATAATGTTCAGATAAATTAACAACTTTTAACAATCCTTCACTGAATCTTTCCAGTCCCTGAAAATCGACATTCTTCAAGGCCCTACCTTAGTCACTTACTTTACACAACTCTACACACTCAGGATTTATTTTCTTTCACATATACATGAATGATTGCTAGATTGTTCTTTTCCTTTCCAGTTAATCGTGGAATTCATGGAGAGCCTCAAACCATTTGTAACATCAAAATTAATGCAGCTAACAAAGAACACTGTCTTCAGACCAAAAAATATAGCTTTTAGTGAGTGCCTGTGCAATATATATATATATATATATATGTATATATATATATATACATATATATATATACACACACACACATACACACACACATATATAGCTTACAATTTAAATATAACATACAAATATGAAGCAATTGGAGAACCAGAAAGAATACTAACAGTATATGACTGCTTTGCATACTCTACTGCAGTCATAGAAGTCAAGACCTACAGATCACCCAAATGCTAAGTCAACCGTAACATCAGGAAATAAGAGCCTCATCCCACTAGCAGCTGGAGACTAGAAACAGTCTACCTTCCAGATTACCTGGAGTGAAGCCTGGACAATTATATACATATAAAGCCTTAGTATTCTCTAATCTCTGCCATGTTTATTTCTCCAGGCAAAACAACTAGATTTCTTCTTTGGTTTCCTGGGACCAAAGTCCTGACTTGAATAGTAGCCCATTTGACAGGCCCTCGCATCACTCATCAAGATTTTGCCCACTTCCTCCCACTGAAAGCTACATAATCCACAGCTTCAGATGGAGTCATTAACAAAAGCAATTTACCAGACTCATGACCCCAAACCACAAGGTTTAACTATTACTGTCACCACTAAATTCTATTATTTCCTTAAACCTCTTCTTTCAGTGTCCATTCATTCGATGGTATTTTAATACATATTTTGATGATCATTTAAGTACAAGTTCATCATTGTCCTTTGGACACTCATTTTCTATTTATGGCTATCAAGTTTTCAGCCCTATGGCTAAATCAAGTTTTCCTAGGTCTTATCCCACTCAATCTGGCTTTCCTATTTTATTGACCCAACCCTACATATAAGTGTAACAGGTACAAGAATAATAAAACCAGTAAGTGCTACCTATTTTCCTAATCATTATAGGTACAACCACTATCCTACATATATTTTGTTTTGAAAACTCTAACATTAGCTTTAAAATCTATCAACTGTCAAAAGCAGACAATGTCTTTCTCTGCAAAACCATCACTATGATTCATGCTTCTCTCTGCAGGGTCTTTCACATATTTTTTTCACTTCGCATTTGGGCTATGGCAACATATTTTCCTTCAGACTCCCAGACCTCCAGTAGGCACATAATATTTACAGTTATGATTATTCTTAACAATGTAGTAATTTCCTTTGAAAGTAATATGGCAACAGTAACAAAATCTACCAAAATATCTCCTGTAGAACATCCATTTAAAAGTATTAACTCAATTTTTTAGATTGCAAAGGAGTGACAAATTTTGAGGAAATATAGCTACTGAATTCTCCTTCCAGCTCTTTTTGTAAAGCTCTGAAATGAAATGCAATCCATAAAACAATACTGAATTGTTCCATGTGCATATCTTTATATTTTCCACCAAATTTAAGAAACAAGAGATAACTCACATCTAATTAATAACTCATGTTCTAAAAATACAGTTCAGTTCTTTGAGTCCTCTGGACTTTAATATTCATTTATCAGTTTAAAAAACAAATGACAAAATACCCAGAAAATGGCTTTGTGTCCTGTAGATGTTCTTTTTTCGGAGAGTCATCTCTCAAGCTCTCATCCTGTGATTCTTCTCTTGCGTCTTCTGAAACGTGTCGGTAGTCAACACTGCGACTGGCTTCTAACGGCTTCGGATTTGAATGTTTCCTCTCTCCTTCTCGCTCATCAGATCGACCCCACGATGATAAACTTTCTTCACTGTTCTCTGTGGATTTTTGAAAACCACAATGCACAGAATCCTGAGCAACCAGTGCTGAAGATGAACTAGATGATTCAAAATTTCTGTACTTGCGATGAAATGACAGTTCATCATCAGAGGGTCTTAAGAATTTAGATCTCAAATTTCCAAGCGATGAAAACTGTTGATTTTGCCTTGGATTGGAATCTCTTCTATATATTTCTAAAGGCCCAGAGCTGTTATCTTTTTCATCACCACTGAACTTATCTTTATTGTTTGCAACATCTGTTGAACTGTATCTATCCCTTGAACTTTTGTTATATTTTATCAAGTCTGATTTTCTACTTTCTTGACTACTTTGTGCTTTATCTGAGTATGTTGGTTTCCTCCAGCGTTCTTGTCTACAATCTTCTTTTGTGGATGCTGTTTTTTCAGCTTCTTCTAATTTCGACTGAAATATTTCCATTGACTACAAAGGAGAAAAATTAAACAAGATATATAAAATTTAAAAAGGCTCCATGACTCATACCCCACATGCCACTGTGCCACAATACACTGTTATGTGGCACAATAAATGAAAAATCCAACAAAGGGGGAAAAAAGAACCATACAGTCATCCTACCTAATATGGGCTGAATTGTGTTGTCCCCCCACCAAATTCCCTAAAGTGATTACTTTAAAAAATATAAGTAATCAAAGAAAAATTACTCAATAAAAAAGAATATAGGAACTAAAAAGCCATTTGGTAAAATATATACTACAGAAAACAGTAAAGGCATAAGTTTTAAAAAATAATTCCTACTATCAGTGAGATACAAGAGGTTGCTACATTGCTAAACATAAGAGCCTCTCATAAAAAAAGCACAGTTGAATAAGAAAGACTTATAAATAAAAACTGTGTGTCTAAAACATGAAGATGAAATGAAGGGAAGAATAGAAAGTATTGACTCCAAATTAGTGAATTTAACACTAACCTGAGAATTCTCTATACTTAAGATGGTAAATAGATACGTTATAAGGAAAAAGGACACATGGACAACTAATTCTAACAGATTTTAATATGCATATACTAGTACTTTCAGAAAGAAAGAACAAAGATAGAAGAAAGCAAAGAAACAAAACCTCATAGACAACAGACAACAGTTTAGTGGTTACCAGTGGATAAGGGGATAGGAGAATGGTAGAACAGGGTAAAGGGGGTCAAATATACGGTGATGGAAGGAGAACTGACTCTGGGTGATGAGCACACAATGTGATATATAGATGATGTATTATAGAATTGTACGCTTGAAACCTATGTAATTTTACCAATCATTGTCACTCCAATAAATTTAAAGAAAAAAAAAAGATGGAAGAAAGCATTAACAAAACAATAATATTGTAATATAAGAAAACTTGCACAGCAAGTTTTTCAGATCTGAATGGCTCATCCAACAGCCATAGGAGAGGGGAGAAAGTGAAGCATACAAAGACTCCTGTATTCAAAACCCTAATCACTGAGTCTCAAAATTCACATAAAAAAAAAATCTTCAAAAAGACTGAATCAGAGGAAGGAGGGAGTAAATATGAGCATGAAACAGATGGGAGTAGGTAAATAAATAACACGTTACCTACAAAGGAAAGAAGTAAGACTTTTAACAACTTTTCATCTACAATACTAAATGCTATAAGATAATGAAATAAAGATCAAATCTTAAAAAAACTATAAAGAATTCAATTCATAATCAAACTATCCTTCCCTGGTATGGACAAAAGAAAGTCATTTTAAAAAAATACAAGGAATCAGAAAGCAAATCACTTACTTATCCTTGGGGGGAGAGGGAGTGACAGGGTGGAGGGTGGAGGGTGGGGGGTACAGGATGATTACTCATGACCATTAAACCAAATTATAAATAAATTAGAGCAAAGATCACTAAAAAAAGGAAGACATGCTATAAACCAAATGGAAAATGTAAAGGTTAAGTTTAAATAATTATTCTTGTAGTTATGATATTTAAAACAATTGTCAAGAATAAAATGTATATTTTTAAAATTAATAATAAACAAATTAAAATTTCAAATTATTTCAATAAAATCAGAGAAGAAATGAGGGATCAAAACATGCTAAAGTTATTATCTTAGGCTAGGCAGAGATAATCCGTAACATTTCATTTTTTTAAATTATTTTTTAAACATAGATTTAATATGTTTCTTAAATTTAATGACAACATGTACAGAACAGAAATGATGGCAGTGAGATGGGAGAAATATTTCCCTAATGACAGCACCTCCTCATAGGCAGCTTTTTTTCTTTCTTAGTGATACATAAAATAATGGACTCTACAACTAGTGGCTTCTTAGATTCAATAAAATATGATAAAATAAAGACAACAAAAACAGCAATTACCACAATTTATCCAAATGCTTACTATATTACATCGTTTGCATAATTTAAGTGGGCTCTAGAGACAAAACCTGAGTTCAAATCTAATTATTAACCACACAATCTTGGTTAAGTTATTTAACCTCTGTCTGCCTCAGTTTCCTCATTTACAAAATAAGAATAACAGTACTATAATGGATATTAAATAAGTTAATTACACACAAAACATTTTAACAGTGCCTGGCACATGAAAAGCCCTCAAATTATTATTAATGCTTACAATAATTCTATGAGATTGGTACTAATGTTTTCAAAATGGAAAATAAAATGAAGCCAAGATCACACAGCACAGGAATAACAAACCTGATACTGAAATTCAGGACCATTTGACTACAAAGCTAATGTTTTAAACAGTTATGCTAAAATGCCTTACTCTATGATTTTTAAATGTTCTAAAGAATTAAAAAGTTATATAAAGCTTCACAATCCAAATAATAAACTTATAATAACCTCTACGATCAAAACTTAATAAAATATAAAAACTAAAGGCCATATACATATATAAAGATATAAATTCAAATTAAAGTATTAAGAAATTTAATTCAGTAGTAATTAAAGGAAATGTCATGATCAAACAGGAGTCAAAGAATGCAAAAATGGTCCAACATTAGGAAATTTATTAATGCAATTCGTCTCATTAACAAGTAAAAAGAAAAAATATCACATCATCTCAAAGGACACCAAAAAACTTATTTCATAAAAATTAGACACCTTTTCCTAATTTAAAAACAAAAACAAACAAAAAAGCATCTCTGACTAAACTTTGAATGCACGGATACTTTTTCAAGATGATCATCATCTTAAACACAGGACATTATCATTTAAACACAAAAAAAACACAAAAAAATAGCTTACAGTGCTTTCGTCAAAATTCTGAAATTCTATTCAAGAAGATAAGATAGTTTAAATATTTTGAAAATGGGGTCGGGGGGGGAGCAAAAGTAGCACTCATTTTCATATAACTATCTTCCCAGATAACCCAATTTAAACAATTAAATTTAATGAGAATTAAAACATTAGAGTTTAGGGCCGGCCTAGTGGTTCGTTGGTTAAGAGTTGGCTTGGGACACCAGCTCTGAGCAGCAGGGCCCCGGTTCGGATCCCACATGAGGGCCAGTAACACTGCCCTCTACAGCTAAGATGGTGAGCAGCAGCTCGACATGGAGCTGGGCTGCCATGAGTCGCCGGCAACGGCGTAGGCTGCAGCCCCGGCTGCAGTGGGCTGCCATAAGCTACCGTGTGTGGTCGGCAGCCAGTGTGAGCGGCCAGCAGCCGGTGTGAGCTGCCAAGAGCCGCAGTGAGCGGCCGTCCAGAAGCCGGCGACTGATCTGCCTCTCCCGGGAAGAGTGCAATGATGGTGCCAACTTGGGCCAGTGAAGCAATGTCCTCCACAACTAGACTGAAGAACAAAAGGAGAGCAACTTGTCTGTTCCCCTTCCCCGATTACCCAATGCTGTTCTCTCCCCCAATTCCCCAATAAAAAAAAATCTTAAAAAAAAAAAACAACATTAGAGTTTAGAAACCTGGCAGTGTAGCACCTACAGCAAGTCAGAAAATATAAGGGAAGAAAGATTCAATATACAATTGAAAAAAATAATTAAAAATAACCTTAAGGATATGCACATAATAACTCCATAGAGAAATTTACTGAAGAGCATAAATGAAAATTTGAATAAATACCCAGTATTTCAGAATAAGATGACTATACATTATAAAAATATTAATTGTCCTTGATTTATCTATATATTGAATTAAATTTAAGTCAAAATTCCATAGAGTTGTAAGTTTATAATGGACTTTAAAAAAAGTCTCTGTTGAGCTTGAACTTCACAAAATGATTCTAAAGTTAACAAAAAAATAAACAAGAATGAAAAGCTAATTTTTAATGACAAATAAAAGAAATCTTATACTCTGCTATATAGATGTCTATTATTTGTTATCTGCATGAGTTACCAAAAATTACAATAATTATAACAATATGATACTCATTCCAGGAAATAACAGAAAAATCAATGAAATAGATTTGAGAGTAAAAGAACAGACTAATTTTATAAAAGACAATTTAATATATAATAATATGTCATTTTAAATAAGTGGGAAAAAATAATTCACTAATTATATTATAAACAAGTAACCTGAAGACTTAGGGAAAGTTAGACATCTACTTTACACCATATACAAATATTGGGTTGTTGGAAAAGTCATGATGTATTTTTTCTGGTTTTCGTTGCAAAAATGCATCATGACTTTTCCGACAACCCAATATACTTTCCAGAAAGATTAAAGAAATGCATAAAAAATAAAAATGAACAAATACTCAAAGTAAATATAGGTGCAAATTTTTATGATTTAGGGGATGAAAAAGGCCTATCAACAAATTACACCAAGAACATTAAGTCATGAAAGAAAAACCTCATGGATTTTGTTAGGTAAAAATACTTAAAACTTATCCATAGCAAAAATTAGCATTCCTCCCCCTCCTTTCCCCAACACCCCGATAGATTTCAGCTCCTCTATTACGATTCTTATTGCAGTCGGCTTGGTGTTAGTTATTTATGTATGTCTATTTCCCTTACTATAACATGAACTTTTACTCCTGGAAGTCCAGGACCATGTCTGATTTATCTTTATAGCTTTGCACATAGTAGGTGATCAATAAATATTTGTTAAATATTTTAAAACATTAGATTTATTAAAAGGTCTTAAATAAATCAATATCCCAAAGGAAAAATTAGTAAATACATCAATAATCAATTCACTTAAAAAATACAAATGACCAGAGAAATATATGAAAAAATATTCCAATTCGCTAGCCAACAAATATATAAAAACAAAAGCAAAGAAAGAATCTGTTTAACAATCATAGTAACAATCTATAAAGAATACTGAAAATCATGTGATAAAAGAGCCATTTTAATAAGCATAATTTGATCTAATCAATCTTTCTGTAGAGAAATCTGGCTATATTTATACCTCACTTTAAGTATCTGTATCCTTTAAACTAGCAATTTCATTTTTAGTAATTCATCTTAAGAAAATAATAGGTAAGTATTCAATATGCATTGTGTAAAAATGGCCAACACAGTGCTATTTAACAGGGGAAAAAAATAAAAACATATAAATGTCCCTCCATTGGCAATTAAATAAATAATGGTAAAACTATATAAAATATATTAAAAATTAAGACGTCATTAAAATTTGTATATTTACTGGCATCCAACTATGTCTACATCAGTAAGTGAAAGAAGCAGGCTACTAGAAGTCTAATTTAATAAAACTTTATTTTGTCTGGGAAAATGTATATATCAAAATGTTAACAAAGATTATCTTAAAACAAAGGATGATTTTTCTCTCTTTTTTTTTTTTTTTGCTTGCCCATTTTTCTAATTCTTACTATCTTCTAAACCTACTTTTCTCTGGAAATTAAAAAAAAAAAGACATCAATAACTACTGAAATAGAAAGATTATCCATAGATGGTGAATGGAAGAGCTGGCTCTTAAAACTTCATGTACTGCTGCATGGTTCCATTGTTTTAAGAGTACACATACACTCTTAAAAAACAAACAAACAAAAAAAACCTGTTATATTCCAAATTCTGAATTACACCAAAATTTCAACAGTGGTTATCTCCAGAGGTGTACTATGGAGGCTTTCCTATATTATTTAAATTTTTCTCACCATGACAAAATGTTATTTTTACATTAAATACACACATTTAAATTTTATATACTTTAGTTCTATATTCATTATGTCAATACAAATATTACAGAAGTTTATATAATAACAAAAAACAGGAAATGGCTTTAATTGTATATAGATTTCGAATTTAATATCTATTCAATTCAAAAGTGTTTCATGGCACAAAACACTGACAAAGTTAAAGGCACTTAATTTCTCATACAACTGAAAATAATACATATCTCCTTAATATGAATACTCACCCCATATCTTTCAGCTACAATGTCTTCAAAATTTCTATTTTGTTTCTCAGCTTGTTCCTTCATTCTTTGATAAGACTTCCTTAGCCAGCTTAATCCACCATCTTCTATTACTGAAACTAAATTCCAATACTAAATGTCAGTTACTTTTTATGTGGTATGATAATTAATATGTATTGCTTTTAAAATTACTTCTAAAGTATAAAATTAAATTTTTTTCCTTGAACACAAAAATTGTTAAGTGTATTTAAAATTTAACATATACAAGGTATGATCACAAAATATGGTGAATGCTGCTGCCAAGTGCCATCCAACAAAAAGGTAGGGATCTTCAATATGGGAAGCAGCACGTTGAACCTAGTAACAGTGTGTGACAAGTTTCAACTTGTTCGGTGCAGTCAGTCGGGTGTGAGCTATGGTTGAGAAGAGGTGTGTTTTAAAGTGTGCCGTAAATCATGGATCACGAACAACACATTAACATAAAATTTTATTTCGAACTACAAAAAAGTGCTAAAGAAACACACAAAATGTTAAAATTAGTTTATGGTGATGCTGCAGTGACCACAAAGATGGTTTACAAGTGGTTTGAGTGATTTTGTAATGGTTGTGAATTGATTGAAGACAAGGAGAGATCAGGATATCCCTCAACATCAAAAACCCAAGAGAATGTTGAAAGAGTTGATCAAACAGGCGATCGACTATTAGGGAAATTTCTGAGGATCTGAATATCTCTTATGGTTCCATTCAAAGCATTTTAACAACAGATTTGAACATGAGGTGAGTGAGTGCAAAATTTGTTCCACACATTCTGACTGTCAAACAAAAGCAACAGCGTTTGTCAGTTTTGTTGGCGTTGCACAATCGTGCTGTTTCAGATTCCAGCTTTTTAAGACATGTCATAATGGGAGATGAAGCCTAGGTCTATGATCATGATCCTGAGACCTAGGTTCAGAGTTCTCAGTGAAAATTACCCAGATCTCCTCCTGAGAAAAAAGTGAGTCAATTATGATCTAACATAAAGATGATGTTAATTGTGTCTTTTGACCTTGATGGAATTGTGTGAGCTGAGTTTGTACCCAGGAACACTACGGTGAACTCTGAATATTACAAAGGCTTATTTGAGCGTTTAAGAAACAATGTGTGGAGAAAACGGCCTGAAAAATGGGAAACGGTTTCATCCTCCATCATGACAACACGGGCTGTCATACATTGCTTCTAGTATGGCAATTTCTGTCAAATAAGAACATTATAGTGTGTCCCATCCACCAGATCCAGCACCGTGCAACTTCTGGTTTTTCCCCAAAGTCTACATGACTATGAAAGGTAAACGTTTTAAATCATTTTAGGACATCGAGACAGCCACGGCAGCACAACTAAAGGCACTCAAGAAAGTGGGACTTCCAGAATTGCCTCAGAAAGTGGCAAGAACAATGGGATAAGTGTGTTCAAAGTGAATTGGAATATTTTGAGAGGGATTGATGGTAACGTGTCTTTTATTGTAATAATTTTTTTTAATTTAAACATTCACTATTTTTTTATCACATCTTGTATTTGGGTATCTATATATGCAACATACAGAGTTATGCAACTGACAAAGGAAAAATAAATAAAACTATCCTCAAAAAAACTGCAATCTCAGAGAATGAGAATAAAAGGATATAAGTAATAACGAAAATAATATTGGATAAATATTATAAAATGATATAAAGAATTATAAAAAAAATAGAAAAGGGAAAAATTATTTCTAAATGGAAGGTAAACCTTCAAAAAACCAGGCTCAAAAACATGAGTTGGATTTCTATAAACAAAGACAAGAGTAGGCAGGACATTCCCAGAAATAAGGAATAAAGGTACACATACAGAGTGGGGGAAAGCTACCTCTGATACAGCACAAAAACGAATACGGAGATTACAGAAGACGATGCTTAAAGGTATATTAACGCATGATATTCTACTTTAGTCATGATTACCAACTATGAAAACCTGAATGCTTTCAACAGACTTCATTAAGCTGCTTATATTTCTTCTACACACATCACACTTTTGATACGCATAAAGAAAAGTCTAATCAGTTATTTCAGTCAAAACACTTTCTGATTTTTCCTTGTCCAGATACAGGACTACTTTAGAATCACCCCGGTTCCATAACCAATAAAAATGCACACACAGCCCCCAAAAGACATGTAAAGAATCATTTAAGACATGTAAAGAATCTAGGCTGCAGCAATCCCAGCCTAGAACACCCCAAATGCTCATCATCAGTCAAATGGATGTGCATATGTCATAAATTATGATTCATTCCTAAAATAGACTACAGAGCAATGAGAATGAGTGGCCACAACTATACAAACAACATGGATGAATCTAAAACTGTGGTCAAAAGCAGCAGGAAACAACAGAGGGCATGGTGTATGATTCCAGGAAAAACTGATTTTTTGGAGCTAGAAACCAGAATAGTGGTTACCCTTCTGGGAAGAGCGCTGGGCTAGAAGGACCACAAAGGGAGCGTCTGGGATGCTAACAATGCTTGTTTCTCCAACTGCGTGCTTAGTGAAAATTATCAGTTTGTATACTTATGAGTTGTGTACCTTTCTGTGAGTGTTAAACATCAATAAAAAGGTTACTTAAAGAATAAAACACATTTTTCAATCCTCAAATTCTAGTCCCTCATTCAAATCTAACAAGTTGAACTTTACTAAGCCATCTGTTCTAAGATAATAGGTTTTTCTTTACACGTCTAAAACTTTGTACTTCAAAACCTAGATCTCTAGCTCACTCAGCGATTCACTTTTCATTCAAGTTTATTTTCCTCTTGTTCTTTTTTTTCTTATTTATATAGTCTATGAGCTCAAAATTAACAGAGCAAGTACTCAAGGAAGTTAGTCTAAATCAGCAATTTACCCAGTGGTAAGAGAAACCCACTGTGAGCAATACCTATGTTAATGTCCCAGTGTTAACTAAATTGTTTATTCCAAAGATCTGTGAAATTGATAAAATGCTGATGGGCATAGTGAAAATTTCCTGAATAATCACCAATATGTAACAGTTCACAGAAAAAAATCTCAAAGAAAAGTAAGACAGCTTTTATTCCTCTGTATTGACATTTATTAAGAAAATCTAACAGGAATAAAAATTGTCAGTCAATTCAGTCATGAGTCAAATCCACATTTTAGAAATATTTATATAATAATGCCACCTTCAGTTGACTATGTGTTCTATTTCAATAGTCTTATCAATCTTATGATTAGAGATGCAATAATATTTTTAACAAGACAAATCACCAAATTTAATATTTAAAAAACAAACAAAAAATACCAATTTGAAGCACCTTTGATCATGAAATTCAATCGAACAAATATTTATTGAAATTTACTATGATAATGAAAATTTGTTTACACACAGTAGAGAGTAAAAACATGAATAAGATATAGTTCCTCTCTTCTATGCTGAGATAAAGACATATCAAATAGTTATAGGAAATTCATTGGTATACAGCATATAATATACACCTGTATCTGAAATTACTTTTTATAAATCAAAAATTAAGAGACTGAAAAAGTATACGCTTCCATCATTACTAAAAGTCATATGGCTATAGACAAAACACAACCAAACGAATCTGGGCTGCATTCCCCATTTTTTACAGAAGGCACGATAACATAAAAATAGCAATAAAGGGCCGACCGAGTGGCACGTTGGTTAAGAGCTGGCTTGGGATGCCAAAGGCCCCGGTTCGGATCCCACATATGAGGGCCAGTGACACTGCCTCTACAGCTAAGATGCTGAACAACAGCTCAACCTGGAGCTGGGCTGCCCTGAGTCGCCAGCGACAGTGTAGGCTGCAGCCCCTGCTGCAGTGGGTTGCCATGGGCTACTGTGTGTAGCCGGCAGCCAGTGTGAGCGGCCAGCAGCCACCGTGAGCGGCCGTCCAGAAGCCGGCGACTGATCTGCCTCGCCAGAGAAGAACGCAATGATGGTGCCAACTTGGGCCAGTGAAGCAACATCCTCCACAACTAGACTGAAGAACAAAACGACAGCAACTTGTCTGTTCCCCTTTCCCCAATTCCCCAGCACTGTTCCCATCCCCCCAATTCCCCAATAAAAATCTTAAAAAAAAAATAAATAATAATAATAATAATAATAATAATAATTTTTAAAAAAGTAAAAGTTAAAAAAAAATAGCAATAAACTATATATCAGGAGACCCCTAGATTTTTAGTCTTGCTGCTACTGCTAACTAGTTTAAAGCTCTTAAGCAAGTCATTGACTTCTTCTGACTTTTGTGTTTTTACCTATAATATAAGGCAATTGATTTAAACAACCCTTGAAATTTCTTCAACACAAAAGATTCTAAAAAAGAAAGCCAAAAAATAGATGGGAAAAATATATGGGAAGAACAGAAACATATCAGAAGAGTTTTGTAAGCAAGAATTTCTACTAACCACATGGTAACAAATATAGCTTTCTAATGAAGAATCCAGAGAAACTAACTCCAGACTAGAAATCAGAAAACCTGGATTCTAGTATGACTCACATGACTACAAGCAATTTCCTGGCCACTCAAAGCCTTATTTTCCTGAGCTACAAAATCAGGACAATAGCACCTACTTTGCTATTTTCACATGGCTGCTGCGAAAATAAGCCAATTATAAATGTGTCATGTAAACTTTAAAATTGTACAAATATTCTCATTACCAAAACATAACTAAAAATAATTTTGTATGGATGCTGAAAACAGTTTACTTTTTTACTTTTCCACTTAATTTTCTCTTAAAAAAGAAAAATCTAGCTTAACAAATTATTAAAAATATGGCACCTCAAACATTACAAAAAAAAACTGTTGATAAAATCTTCCCAAAACATTTAATCATTTAAACAAGTATTTGACATCACTGTCATTATTGAGTATTTACTATATTCCAGATACTATGCCAAAAGATTTTCTCATTTAATTCTCAAAATAACTATATAATAGATACTATCATTAGTCCCTATTACAGAGGAATAAACAGAACTTAGAGATCAAGAAAATTTCCTAAAATCACAAAGCTAGCAAGTGGAAATATAGAATTCTAATCCCAAGTAGCCTAACTCCCAAGTCTGAATCCTTAACTATAACACTATGTCACCTCTCTACCGCAATACTAAACTTGTAACACTTTTAGGTGCCTAAGCATTTCAGCCCTTCCATTGGTCTAACAGAAAGCCCACACTATCTGCACATGCAGTAAAATCAGCAGATCATTTTTTAAAACTTAATTTCAACTCGGGGATCTGAACCTCTTGATAGACATAAGCTTTCTGTCATTTTTCCTCTTTCTAAATAAATATAACTTGGGAAAGGGAAGTGGTAAAAGCATGATATAAAAGGGAAGGGGGAAAGACTCTCTAAAAGCTTTATGAAAGGTCATTTTTCTCAGTGTCTTTGATTCTACCGTTTCAGCCCACTGAAAGATACTACTTAAGGTAGAACTTTGGGTATTTTGCACTCAGTGAAATCAAGAACCTGGTGACTGCAAACACCCAAAGGCTGGGTTTGTTGAGTCTAAGTTCTCCCCATAGATGATGAATTTATACACTGTCCTCTGATAATATTGGTGGTAAACACTTGGATCATAAAATCAGCCCTTCATAGTCATGGTTCACTGAGCTAACTTACTGCTCCCCAAACTTCTTAAGTTTCTGAAAACAGCATTTCAAAGAGATCTTGTATGACTACAGTTACTGTAACCCAGCAGAGGTATTTCTACCCATGCTGAAAGGCAACAAAGAAAATGTTACAATTAGTAATAACGTTGGTAAACAACTAAAGAAAAATTATTTAAAAATAAAGAAAACCTATAAGGTGGCAGTATAGAAATCTCTACATAAAATACCAAAGAATTTTAACAAATGGTCAAAATAAAAATATATATGAAAAGCAAGAAAATATTCTGATAAATCACTAAGATGAAAAGATAAACATCATGATTTACAATACTACTATCTCTACCCTGGGTTACCAGTACTATAAATAAACTTCCAGTTGAGTCATCAACGCAACCTTTAATTGCCATATAACTATTTTTTTTAATTATGGTATCGAGTATAATTATGTGAGACTTAAATATTTTGTCTCCATCTGCTGGAAAATAATAGCACTATCTTAAGGTCAATACAAATTTTATGAATGCTGGAAAAGGTGGAATTTCCGAAGATATGAAATCACATCTGTAATGTTTATACATTATATTCATCAAATTTCAAACTTAATACTTTTTATATTTTGTTATACAATGTAACAAAACAAAGCATTATTATATCCTCACAGGATCATACTTTGCATTAATCCATTCAAAATAAAAACTGAAATATAAAATCCTTAGGTATAAAATATACATTTAATCAATTTACTCCCAAATATATCATCTTCTGATTACTAATAACTTAAATACTGCCTCAAAAGACTGCAAACATTTCATCAATGCTTATCATATGTAAATTGAACCTTTAGTAATATATAGATGCTCATAATGTGAACTCATATAAATTTCACATCAGATCATCAATAAACTTATAGTTGTTTTGAAAAGATGGAAGCAAACATAGATAATTATGGACTTGATCAAAATTACAACATCAAGCAGAAATATTAAAATAACCAGTAGTAAAATCTATATTTACTATATCTCAAAATCTCATTTAGATTATTAAGCATTTTTGGAATTCATAATGCCAATCTATCAACAAACTTATTTCATTGCCTTAGGAATACCAAGTTACAAGAAGTGCCTATGTGGCTTCAACCAAAATATAGAGAAATACCTTTAGTAACTGATGACACATTACAGTCTTCTGGTGGAAGACCTGTCCCACCATCCTTCCAGTATGGATTCAATTCTCTTTCCAGCAGTCTGGCCTAGAACAAAACATTTTCAGAAGTCATAATTTTAAAATAACCCTACCATAAAATGTATTAGTAAATAACGTATCTGAGACTCAGTTAACAGTCATAATCTTGGACAAATATTTAAAACACTCTTAAGACACACTTCTGCAGCTTGCTGGAAATAATGTGTAAATTAACATTTATCCAATCCTTCCATTGAATGCCTCCTATGAATCAGAACTGTGCTAGATACAGAGATATAACAATCAATATACCTAACTCAGCCCTTGCTAGCTTGTGAGATAGTGAGGAATACAGACAATAAACAAGTAACTGACAAGTGCTTTGAAGATAAAAGTCCAGGGCGCTAAAGCCACACATAATTCAAACTCTTCTCATACTGAAGGATCAAAGACTTCCTGGAGGAAGTAATATGTGCAGTCTTAGATCTAAGGACAGAAATTAGCCAAATTTTCTTTTGTGGGGAGAGAAAGCAGAGAGATGCTCTAGGCAGAAGGAACAACAGCATGTTCATAAAACCATAGAGGAAAGTGAAAACAGCACTTTCAGGGAACTTAAAATAATTCAGGCTGACTAAAATTTAGAAGCATGAGTGAGGAGTGGTTAAGAAATTAGGTTGTACAATAATCAGGGACTAGGCCACATAAACCATTTTAAACTGCTGCTGAGGTTTTAGGCTGGGGCAACAGAGAGTCATGAAAGAGGTCGGCTTTGTAATACACAAAGAGCAAACTGGTTTCAGGGTGGGGGAAAGACTGAAGAGCAAGATTAGAGGCAAGAATCCAGTCAGAAGATTGTGGCAGTAATCAGTAAAGAGATGATGGTAGCCTAGTCACAATTCAAGTGGCTCCTGTGTTCCAAGCACTATGCTGGGCACCGGAGCTACAATGAGTAAACGAGGCATGGGCCTGCCAATGAGGAAGCCTTGCCATCAAGGCTACTATGGTCTGGCGGGAGACAATTAGGCAATATCAATACAGGTAAGTGCTATGAAGGTAAAGGGTACTATAGACCACACACTAGTGGTTCCTAACTGACCTTTTAGGAGGTCAGAAAACGCTTCTTAGAACTAATAATGGCAATGATTAGAATTAACCATGGCAATTAGATGGAGAAGAATGAGAAATTAATTAAATGTTAGTTTCCAGTAATACGAATCAACCAAACCACTGGTAAGAAAAACGGTGGATCATTTTTTTTTAAAGGCTTTTAAAATGTACCCATGAGCAGACAAAAAAGCACAAAATCTTCAAAAAACAACATTAAGTTAAAGGTTAACTTACAGGGATAAGCAAAACTATAAATTTTGATTTCTTTTATACCAAAAAAGATTCTGTCACCTCTAGTACAAAATCTCACAGTATCTACAATCCAGGAATTTCTTCCAGTGGTCTTATCTAGACACTCAAAGAGATACACATCAGATACTCAACAGGATAAAAAAGGCTGGAATTACATACTGAGGAAAACAACTGACACAGGCTAGACAAATTATGAGATCCTATCTGATAATATATAAAAGAAAAAGGACTCTGTACATACAAGTTTTACAAAATGGTTTTATAAAAAATAAACATTGTTAGCATGAGAAAAGAAAAAAAAAGGACTGACTATATAAATACTGCAAAGCAGTAACAAAAAGAAAACTCAGAAGAACAATAAGGAAGCAACATAAACAAGCAGTTTGTACTATAAGAAATTTGAATGACCAAAAAACATGAAAAGCTCTCTCATAGTAATCAAACAGATGTATATATATATATATATATATATATATGCATATATATATATATATATATACACTATTTCTCACTTATTAATTAGCATGGCAAAAATTTTAAAGTTTGACAATACAAATACTTAGTATGGTAAAGAAACATATATCATTGGCAGTAAAAATTGTTATAATCTCTTCCCAAGTATTTGTAAAAGAAGATAGGTGCACACTTTATAACTTAGCAATTTCACTTCTAGATATGCACCATAAAAAATTTTGCACACATGTGCATGAGAAAAAAATATATAAGGACCTTCCTTTAGCACTGTTTGCAATAGTGAAAAACAGCAAATAATGTAAATATCCACAGATAGCCACAAGGAATAGATATTTACAATATGTCAGTTAGACAATGAAAGACTATACAGTAATTAAAAGGAATGAAATAGAAATAAAATATATCAACATGAATCACTCTCTAAAACACTCTCGGGTCTTCTAGTCAAGATGCCTTATTAGGGACCCATTCATCACAACCTCCCTGCTCAGGATAAACAGAAAAGATACACAAAATATAAAACATACTTGAGTTCAAAACAAGATAAACATCTCTGTGGCCCAGAACAGATATGCAAAGCAGTGAGCAGAACTGAAGCCAAAGGCCTACTGGGCTCTGTATGCAAGCAGAAAGTGATAGTCCTTAGTTTAATCTGTGTAAGATAAACACTAAAAGTTGCCCCTGCTGAAACAAGGGAACAGAGCCAGCCTCACCACATGAAGCCAAGGGCTGCTGGGATGGCAAGATCTACTTGTAAAAAGAAGGTTGGAAAGTTGGTAAGCATCTCTATAACGCTACAGACTGGGCCTAGAGGTACATGCTTATATACGTGCATCTATACCTTATAGCACAATGTGGGCATGAGAAGCCCAGAGGACACAGACTAGCCTTGAGCATTGGTTTTCAAACTTTTGTGTGACCTTGATCCAAGGTCAAGGGATTGTGTGTGTGTGTGTGTGTGTGTGTGTGTGTGTGTCTCCAAAACTAAAGTTATAGCAAACAAAATGTATCGTTACTACATGCAATACATTGATATTTTATATTTTTAAATGCTGATTGCAATAAATTATTTTCATAACCCGCATTTTGAAAAATACTAGCCTAGAAAACCAAAGAAATGATATCCTCAAAATCAAGGAGATATAAAATCAACATGCTTCACACCAAAGCTTCAGTTAAGGACCATCATTTTAGACTTCATCCCATTACTTTTACTTTACCCCTACACCCATTACAAGAATTAACATTTAGTTCTTTCTTGAACAGCCATTCATTTCACAAACCAACTATGTATTGTGTGTTAAGAATATGATGATGCGCAGAGAACAACACACTGAAACTGATGTGCAGATGTTTGAAAATTGGTTAGTCTCACTCACTAGTCTCAATAATTTACTTCTGCATACAACAATCTGAATTCTTACCAACGCAAAAATCAAAATTACTTCAAACTATGAACTTCAGAACTAAATCCAGGATTTGCAGGGCAAAAAGGTAAATTCATGGGGAAAAGAATAATAAATGTGCAATTTCAAATATACAAAAAATAAAAAAGCACCTACTATTGGCAGAGTTCTACAATAGCTGTGAGGGAGATATAAACAAAACAGTTTTCTCAAAAAGTTTATAATCCCATAAGGGTAATAGAATAAGACTATTAAATTACAGTACTTTACAGAAAACTACAAGTACTACATAATAAAGGAGTAAATAAAGTGCTATGGAAACATAAAGGAAGACAAGACATATCAAAGGAAACAGGAAGAATTTTATATATATTATATTAAGTCAGGTCTTAAAGGATAAACAGGATGCAGACACGAAGAGAGAGGGAATTCACTTAGAAAGAACCAGATGAACAAAACTTGAGAGACAGGAATTTGCAGAGAAATATGAAGAAAAGTAATTAAACTTGCTTGGTTGAAGTACAAATTACCTCAGAGAGAGTCCAGTCTAATGTGTTTGAACTCTATTTGCAGGCAGCTTTTGGGGCCTTTAAAGGAGAACAACAGGGCCGGCCAAGTGGCACGTTGGTTAAGAGCTGGCTTGGGACGCCAGAGGACCCCAGTTCGGACCCCACATATGAGGGCCAGTGACACTGCTCTCTACAGCTAAGATGCTGAACAACAGCTCGACCTGGAGCTGGGCTGCCGTGAGTCGCCAGCAACAGCATAGGCTGCAGCCCCTGTGGCAGTGGGTTGCCATGGGCTACCGTGTGTAGCCGGCAGCCAGCGTCAGCAGCCAGCAGCCAGTGTGAGCGGCCAGCAGCCGCGGTGAGTGGCTGTCCAGAAGCCGGCGACTGATCTGCCTCACCCAGGAAGAGCGCAATGATGGTGCCAACTTGGGCCAGTGAAGCAACGTGCTCCACAACTAGACTAAAGAACAAAAGGACAGCAACTTGTCTGTTCCCTTCCCCCAACTCCCCAGTAAAAATCTTTAAAAAAAAAAGAACAATAATGTACCACCTTTCTTTTCAATCCAGGCCCTGAATAAGTTAAAAAATACAATAAAAAGCATAGGAAGTAAAAGACAAAAAATAACCTTTATTGTTAAGGCTAAATTGGATGAGAATTTTTCTTTCAGTGAAAGCCAAATGGGCCTGTTATCTGAACCCCACAATGAAGCAGACTTTCCTGGGTGTAGATAGCATTGAATCAGCCCCCACTTTGCCTCATTCCCCACATGGTTTCTGCAGGCAGCCTGTTCCATAGCAGTAAAAAGAGAGCCAAGCAAAGTATGCCCGGTTTATTTTTTCCAAATTTTCCAATAGAAAATGTAGTCCATATCCTCAAAGGCAGAAATGAGAAAGGAGGGGGGCATAAAATACCACTAATGGAGCTTCTTTCACCAGAAAGGAAACATTAGAAATGGCAAAAACAGATTCTCCTTAACTTGAATTATTGGAAACTTCTAAGCAGAATACCATGATCAAAACTACTCTGAAAAAATTAACTGGACATCAGCTATAGGATGCTGAAAGACAAAGAGGTAATTGTAATTGCCTAGGCAAGAGTAATCAGGGCCTGAACCATAATAACATTTAACCTTAAATGGTTCTTAGGTCCCGGGATTTTCCTCAGTTCATTACACATATTAACTCAGCTCCAGTATAGATGAGATAAATGAGGATCAAAAAGGTGAAGACATACAACTAGGTGGCATTCAAACTAGAGCAGTAGCAGCAGGAATGAAAAAGATGATACAGATGCAAAAGACAAAAACTACATAAGCAAGTAAGTAGATCAATAGATGCTTAATTAAATCAGAGAAATCACACACACACACACACACACACACACACACACACACACAGGGTCTGACAATTACGCGAACTTGTTACAACAATGTTGTTAACCATTTTTTATATCAGAGGGATGATTCATTATGAATTTGTACCAACTGGACAAACACTTAACCTAGTTTACTATTTGGAAGTGCTGAAAAGGCTGCGTAAAAAAATTAGATGACCTGAACTTTTCACCTACAATTCATGGCTCTTGCATCATGACAATGCACCAGCTCACATGGCACTGTCTGTGAGGGAGTTTTTAGCCAGTAAACAAATAACTGTATTAGAACACCCTCCCTACTCACCTGATCTGGCCCCAATGACTTCTTTCTTTACCCAAAGACAAAGGAAATATTGAAAGGAAGACATTACGACATTCAGGACATCAAGGGTAATATGAGGACAGCTCCAATGGCCATTCCAGAAAAAGAGTTCCACAATTGCTTTGAAGGGTGGACTAGGCACTGGCCTCAGTGCATAGCTTCCCATAGGGAGTACTTCAAAGGTGACTGTAGTGATATTCAGCAACAAGGTATACAGCACTTTTTCTAGGATGAGCTGGCGACCTTAATTGTCAGACCCCGCAAATGCGCGTGTGCCTGTGTGTCTGTGTGTGTGTAAAAAAAGATATGTTACTTAGAAAGACTGAAATTCAAAGCTGGAAAGTTGGCACAACAAAGTATTAGATTCTTAGGAAAGTGAAAGCAGTTTCATTAAAAGTATGTCTAACAAAAACTAATTACTGTTTCAATCTATTAAATATATTCAAGAGTTAACTATTCTATTGTTTGATATGGAGAACAGGTCTGGATATCAGCAAAACATAAGACCACAAGCCAGGGTTGCCCTAACATACCAGATCGACAACACCCACAAACAGCACAGCATGATTTCAAAAGCAAACATGTAATGGCAATGCGTAAAATCATCTTCCAAACTTCATACAGCTCCCCTTTCTTGCTCCACTATCCACTGATTATCCCCCTACTGTACTTTCCCCTTCTCTTTCAGTAGGAATCCCAGCTCCTTCAGGACTAACTCAGAGAGAAAGACATTTTACAGAACTTACTCAAGATAAAACCCATAGCTTCCAACGTTCCACATGGATAGCTACTTAATTATAAACCAATACAATTAACCATACTTACATTTTCAGAATTAAAACTAAACTGGAGAAAAAAATAGAAAACAACATTGATCACACAACTCTTATAATCACTCTCATATTTTTCATTTAGTAGCCCCTCTATGCTGCATTCAAGGTGAATTCTTAAAGACTATCTTCTTATTCACAAATTCTCTCTTTGGCTGTATTCAATCTGTTTAACTATCTACTGACTTTCTAATTTCAACTGTAACATTTTTCTATATTAGTTGAGAAAGAACTTCTATAAGTTCTTTCTCAAATCTGCCTTCTGAATAATCTCTTCCTTATTCATATTTTCTATGTCTACTGTTATTGTACAAAGAAAGCTATTAATCCTGCTGTTTATTGCTTCAGATGATTCTCATTCAAGGACCATCTTTGTATTTTCATGTATTTTATGATTTTAGATTATGAGCTGACATTCCATAGAACTTGTTTCTGGGGAACTTACAATGCGTAAATTAACAGTGTGATCCTCTAGAAAGGAATGGTGGTTACTTCTACCAAGCACTTCAAAGCACTACCAACTCAAAATACTTTAAAATAAATTGTCACCTAACGATTTTGAGACCATACAGGTAGCATAGTTCAAGTCCTAAACTTTATGAATCCACACAATAAACTCATTCACTCAACTACATATGCCCTATATTAATAAATCTAATATACCTTTAAATTGACTTCCTACAGGAAACTTATTTTAAAAGAACTTATATTTTGGGGCTGGCCAAATGGCTCAGTTGGTTAAGAGCACGAGCTCTGAGCAACAGAGTCACCGGTTCAATTCCCACATGGGCCAGTGAGCTGTGCCTGAGCTGAGCTGCCACTGATCTGCCAACAGGTAGCAAGATGGCTCAGCTGGTGAGAGCACATGCTCCTAACAACAAAGTTGCCTGTTTATCTCCCACATGGGATGGTGGGCTATGCCCACCTGCAACTAAGATTGAACACAGCACCTTGAGCTCAGCTGCCCAGAACTATGGACAGGTGGCCAGATGGCTCAGTGGTTAGAGAATGCGCTCTTAGCAACAAGGTTTCCGGATGGACTCCTGTATGGGATGGTGGGCTATGCCCACCTGCAACTAAGATTGAACATGGCACCTTGAGCTGAGCGATCCGAGCTGCTGACGGGCAGCCAGATGGTGACTGGGCTTGGAGCTGAGCTGGCTGCGCCCTCCACAACTAAGATTGAAGGACAACAACTTGGCTGTTCCCCTTCCCCAATAAAATCTCTAAAAAAAATAAAAAGAACTTATATTTCATAGTTGTTCCCACTAATTTTATTAAATACCACAAAAAATATTGTTACAAGTAAAACTGCACTTATATAAATGTCTTATCAGTTTATTAAAGGCAAATTAGAAAGTTAAAAGTATTTGAAATACTATCTTACCTGTTCCAGTGCTTGAGTTTTCTCTTGCTCTATTTTCCTCATAGTTTCCTTTTCAGCTTTGAGTGATGATGATGACACAGTTTTAACAGACATAAAATCAACAGTCATCCACTCATCCCTCTGTTGAAAAAAGAAGTCATTTCGATCTAAACTGATTAGAACACTAAACACTAGTAGCAAGATTTGGTACTTTGAAGGCACTGAAAACTGGATTAAATCCTACATGACTATCTAACTTGAAGCAAGTTTCTTAGTCTCTCCCCTGTAAAATGGGATAAAATCCCTACCTTTCAGGACTGTTTTAAGGAGTAAACAAGAACACAGATTTAAGGCACCCAGCCCAGTGCCTGATACACAAGAGACATTCAAAAACATTAGTTCCTTTTCACCTTTCCTTTCTTCCCTATAGCTAACAGTGTATAAATAGCATTCTTCCTCAGGCATATGAACTACAACCCAAAATCTATAACCCAAAATCTATGAACTATCCAACTATAAGTATTGCTAAGAAAATTATGACATGAGGATAAAGGAAAGAAAAGCTGCTTGAACTTTACTCACTGTAGAAAGGTCAGATGGAGGTAACAGTACAAGGTTTCAAGTACATAATGGGAGAGTGCCACTTTTCTATCAAAAACCAGAGGTAGGAAGCCCTCTGAGAGACTAGCAATAACAAGCACTTACTTCCTCACAGAAGGAGAAAATGGGGAGTCTAATGGCTCAGCAAATAGCATTACTGCCAAAATTATTCATAGAAGTATATTGTTTTCAAAGTCTAATTTTTCTACTTAAGAAATTATAATCATCTTTCATTTCAACATTTAACTATGCTTATAAGTTCACACTGCTTCCTTAAAATCAGGTGGCTTAAGGGCCGGCCAAGTGGCTCAGTTGGTTAAGAGCTCGCTCAAGAGTTTGAGCTCTGAGCAACAGCAGTTCAAGTCCCGGCCCGAGCTGAGCTGCTGCTGAGCTGCCAACAGGTAGCAGGATGGCTCAGCTAAAAAAAAAAGAAAAAAAAAGAAAAACAAAATTCAGGTGGCTTACCTGAGTAACTTGGTTGTCTTCTTTTTCTGACTTTTCATCTTTCAGTTTCCACGCCTTTTCCTTGTCAGGAGTCTGGGATGGAACAGCCTCAATCCACTCATCTTCAGAACTCTAAGAATATTTAGCATGTAAGTGAAATTCTCAATCTGCATACTTTCACATAAAAATTCTGTGCTGTTGTTAAATAGTAGAAATTCAGCTTCCTAGAGAAAAATCTTACACTATACGTCCTCTTTAAAACTTACACTGAAAACCAAAGAACATGTAAACTCTCTAGGAATAAGCTCGCAAAGCACCAATCAAATTATGTTCTTAGTAGTTTATTATCAAGCCAAGGGAAAACAAAAAATAAAGATTAGAACTGCTGGATAGAAAACTCACAAAGATTACAACAGAGCTGCATCAAGTAGTACTGACACTTTGCTTAACTAGAACAAAGGAAACTATACCCAACTAAATGAGTTTACCTTGAAGTTTCAAATTTTGAGATTTCCCTAGATCTAAAAATGCAAAAATCTCAGTTAACAGCTAGACAGGAAAAGCACTTTGCTTACTTTGTTTAAATACCAGATGATTAAAATCAACTAAAAAGTATTTAGTCAACATCCTCTATGTGCTCACCATTATGCCAGGTTTTGGGTTTTGTTTTCAACAAATATGTCAATCAACTCTTCTATGTTAAGCTGTCATAATAAGTACTTTCACATATGCTATCATGTTGACTCCTTAGAACCCTACATGAAATATTATTTTGGTTTTACAGATAAGAAAAGTTCCCACAAATTAAGTAACTTGCCTAGGACACATGGTATCCAAATAGGAGAACCAGAATAGAAATCTACATCTGTCTGGCTCTAAAATCTATTCTTTAGAACTATACAACTTAAATGTAGGAAAGCTCTGAAATCACCCACTGCAAACCCCTTGTTAATGCAGAGCAGAGAAATTCTGAAGCCAAGGAAGGAAAAAGTGGGTTTCCTGAATGAACTCAGTATTCTTTCATTCCACAAAGTTCCTGAAAATCACCTAACTAAAGAACACAAATATGTCTAGTAAAAGGTATAATTCACATGGTGTAAAGATATTTGTGCTCTGGCATTTCAACTGCCAACTGTTTCCCAATACAGAGCAAATTTTATTCATTTATTCATTTATTTACTTAGGTCTTGATTTAGATTTAGAGAAACCTTAGAACTACTTATTTATATACATAGTTACAATATTTTAGGGTAATCACCATAAATATATTTCTGATCTACTCATATTTAATTGTCAAATAAAAAAAAAGAAATTAGCATTTTCTTTGAGGGAGTGCCAATTTGCTAAGATCAAACTAAGAAAAACTTAAAGTTGGTTCCACAGGATTCAATCAAAGACCTTCTTCTAAAATTACAGATTTTCTCCATCCAACCAGATGTTAACCAATTACTTGAAATTCACTAACCAGAGCCATCAGTTGCTTCATCACTACAATTGCAACCAATCTACATCCCTGGATGAATCCATCACCATAATCTATAACTTCTTTCCTACCAAAAGAACCTCCTTTGCCCAGCCCTTAAATATCAGTGTTTGCCCACCATTCTTTGCCCACTACATTTTTTAATCTCGAAACATTCTCCCTGGGCCATTAAATCTACTCTCATGACGTGAACTACCACAGCTGTTGTGCTAATATCTTTCTAATTTATCTACCAAAATATAATTTAAACTGCCTACAATATTTGATAGCACGCTGAACTCAATAAGAACAAAAAATAAACCCATCATCATCTTCCACAAAATGTGTTCCTCCTTCTGAGGAACTGAGTTACCTGGCATCACCAACCACCCACTTACCCAAGTCAGAAATCTCAGGATCATCTTACACTTCCCATACAAACTTACTGTTTTCATTTCCAAAATATTTCTCAACTATACCACATAGTGACCACTACATGATTACTAAGGGAGGTAACCTCCATCCCCCACCACAGCTGATTGTTTCAGAGGTAGGCACGTGACCCAATTCTTATTAATCTTAGTCATTCTCCAAGAATTTGAATCAAGACTAAATGTGTTGTTCTATAACTAGAGAACTGGAAAGGCATTGGCAGAGGCCATTTCTGTCATAAGAAATATAAATGAGCAAAAATTGATTTGTATCAAAAAAAAATAGAACTCAGAGGGGAAAAAAGAATGGAAGATGGCAAAAAGACTCATAAAAGCATTCACAACTCTAACCCCAGCTATTTCTAAAGCCCACAGGCATTGCTAGATAGCCTATGAGACTTTTGTGCTCTAATAATAAGTTGTCCCCCCACCCCCACCCCCTGCCCTGTTTTGTATAAGCCAATTCAAGTTTGGTTTCCATCTAAATTGAAGCACAGAAAAGGTTAGAAATAAACTGTGAACAGAGGCTCCGTGATTTATGGGACAGTATCAAGGAGCCTAGAAAAATAAGAGAAGACAAAAAACATTTCACAAAATAATAGCCAGAAAGTTTTAAATTTGATGGAAACTACGAACTCATAAATTAAAAAGCACAATAAACACAAGGCAGGATAAACACAAAGAAAACAATATGAAGACACATCATAATTATAATAATTCACTAAAAAAAAGATAGTAAAGAATAAACTTTAAAAGCATTCAGAGCAAAAGAAAAGAATTATATACAGAGAAAAAAGGATAAAAATGACTGCAGAATTCTCATTAAGAACAATGTAGGCCAGAAGATAATGAAGTGACATTTTAAAGTGCAGGAAAAGAACTATACATAAAATTTTGTATCTACCAAAAATACTGCTTAAAAATCAAGACAAAATAAAAGGAATTTTCAAACAAGATCTGAGAGACTTCACTGTCAGCAGGCCTATGCTACATAAAATAATAAAGAATTTCTACAGGCATAAGAAAAATATTAGACAGAAATTCAGAACTATACAAAATAAAGAATGCCACAAATGATAAATTTATGGGTAAATGTAAAAGATTTTTCACATGCTTAACTTGTAGTTCAAAAGACAACCACTTGAAGTAAAAACAATTTATTGTGGAGTTTTTTTAACATATGTATAAGTAAAATGTATGACAATAGTAATAAATATAATAGGGGAAGTGGAAACATACTGTTATGAAGTGCATATTATAAATGTAAAATATATTATTTGAAGGCAGAGCATAAGTTAAAAGATGCATAAAATCTAAAGCAATCATTTAAAAAAAATGAAGTATACCTAGTAAGCCTATAAAGAATGCTTAAAAAAAACCTCAATTAACCCAAAAGATATATTAAAACTAGAAGAATAAAAATATACAGAGGGTAAGGGCCGGCCGAGTGGCTCAGTTGGTTAAGAGCTCGCTCAAGAGTTTGAGCTCTAGGGCCGGCCAAGTGGCTCAGTTGGTTAAGAGCTCGCTCAAGAGTTTGAGCTCTGAGCAACAGCGGTTCGAGTCAGCCCAAGCTGAGCAGCCGTGAGCTGCCAACAGGTGGCGGGATGGCTCAGCTAAAAAAAAAAAAAAAAAAAATATACAGAGGGTGCCAAATAAATGTATGCACATTTTAAGAAAGTAAAAAACTGTATTAAAATTGTAATACTCAATTATGTACTCATAACAAAAGATGACTACAAGTCATGTGTATACATTTTTAGGCACCCCCTGTATATACCATAAATACACACATAATAAAACTGAAGAGGCTTTATTAATATGAGATCAAGTAGACCTTTAACAAGAATATTACCAGAGAAAAAGAGGACCATTTCATAATAATAAAATGGTCAATTCATCAAAGACCTATAATCCTCAATGTGTATGCACCTAATTAAGGCTCAAAATACATAAGGCAAAAACTGAAATAAACTCAAAGAGCAAACAGACAAATTCAACAAAGGAGTTTAGGTAATTAAACAGAGAAAGGTTAGCCTTTGCAAAAAAATGATGCTGGAAGAACTGGAAATCCATATGAAATAAAAACCTAAATGCTAACATTTACTAGACACCATACACAAAAATTAACTCAAAATGAATCCCTAATAACAAAAAAGCCAAAGCTATAAAACTTCTAAAAAAAAAAAAATAGGAGAAAATCTTCACCATCTTGAGATGTACAGATTAGGATTCCAAAAGCAGTAACTAAGAAAAATGGAGAAAAAGAAATAATTGATAAATTGGACTTCACAACAGAAAACACGGAATGGCCAATAAAGATGTCAAATGATGCTCTACATCACTGGTCTTCAGGGACAACTTCACTTTAAATATTAGCATACACAGTAGAATGGCCAAAAGTACAAACACTGACAATACCAAGTGTTATCAAGAAAGTGGCCGGCCAAGTGGCGCGATGGTTAAGAACTGGCTTGGGACACCAGAGGGCCCCGGTTCAGATCCCACATGTGAGGGCCAGTGACATTGCCCTCTACAAAACAAAAAAACAAACAAACAAACAAAAATACCTTCCAGTTATACACTTTATGCTCTATAATTTCTACCTCTTGAGCCTCCACAGCACAGCATAGAGAAATGCTTCAGTGTCAGGCAAAATAGAGTGAAGTCACACTGCCATAGTCAAAGGGATAACATAATTACCCATTTCTCCATCCCCCCCCCATTGGATTCAAATAATCACTACTAGTGAATATATTTTGGGCCGGCCGAGTGGCGCATTGGTTAAGAGCTGGCTTGGGACGCCAGAGGGCCCTGGTTCAGATCCCACATATGAGGGCCAGTGACACTGCCCTCT